TGTCTGCCGCCCTCAGATCCACACCTCCGTCAGCGGGGAAAGGATTAGTCCATAATTGAGTTGGCAAACACTACTTTAAAGGTTAATGGGATTCATTTGCATGAGGATCTGCTTAAAGTTGGGGCTGGCCAGTCTGGGGGACGATTGATCATAAATGCACCCACAAGACAAATAAATACCCCCCTATGCGCCATTAAAGGCCCGGCCTTTACTTGGGGACTTTGTCACCAAACCAGAACAGAAGACGTATTATATTTTCATTCTTTTTAGCCAAAACAATGTTAGCCAATTATCAGCAATAAAAACAGGATCTGGGTCAGTCTGTCTTCTGCAGTGTTTCCTATATTTAGTCTATTTCTATGGATGGTGTCAATAGTCTACATTTTAGAAAAGTCAGCAATGCTTTGTGGTTTTATGTCCCAGGAAAAGGCTTTACTGCTGTCTGCAGAATGTTTTCTGTTCTCAGTAGTCAGGTCTGCTGCCTCAAACTACAGTAATTCACCCTTAAGATGAGATTTACATCGGTAAAGACAAATGTGGGGTGTGCCTGAACGTTTTATGGACTTTCATGTGAAACCTCGGGAACAATTAGCATCTTACCTGTTGCAGATAAACTTGTTCTTTTAAGGCCGAGTTCAGTTCTGACCATTATTACAAGCTAAAGCCAGGCGGACACCGTGCAAATTTTTCACTTTTTTGAGCCGATTTTCCACTCTAATCTAAAGGATCAGTGCGAGTTTTGCTCTGACTCTCGTGTAGTATGTGGGGGTAACGAGGGGCGATTAACACCACGGGACCAGCTACCGCTCAGCAGTCGTGAGCTCGCACGGATATCTGGCATGTTTGATCATTTGCTCGTCCCTGGTGAGGGACTGCAACCCAAAAGTAGCAGAACCACTTGCAGGGCAAACACGTGTCAACGCGGCTCGCCAGCTATTTCCCTACTAACACACGTTGTTTGTTTTTATTTCTACACTTTTTTATGCACACAATGACAAGAATTGTCAAGAAATCATGTTTGCCGTGTTCATGTCAAATTAAACTGATCACTAAATACTGATTTACTTCCCTTCTTTCGTTTTCCTCCTCCAACCCCCATAAATCCCTGTGTGTCCTGCTACAGCACTCCCGTCCTGAAGGACAACAGACATTAATAACGACACAAGAAATGTCCGAAATGTAAAAACTGCAACTTTTACCATATTTTTAGGTCCAACGTGCTACCAGACGTACAGTGTGAGCAGTCAGGTTGCGTCCGAGAACTGGGTCGTACAGTGTGAGCACACGACTCGTGAGATTTTCTCTGCGAGGAAGTCGTACAGTTTGAGCTGAAGCTGAGTGTTATGAGTGAAAAAGTCGCACAGTGTCCGCCCAGCTTAACAGACGTCAGTCGGTTATGATGCAGCTCATCTGGTACTTTTTTATCTAAGATCCGCCGATATGGATTTTTCTAATGCCGATACAGGGTTTCCCTTACATAGGCGTAGCCGTGGCAGCCCGCCACGGCTGAAATCCCACCGCCACGCCTACAAGATCCCAAGTTTTTTTGTTTTTGTTGGCGCTGTTTCCTGAAGAAGCAGCGAGAACTACTATGTTGTCACTGGTGATCACAGCGGGCGGGCAGCAAGGAGGAGCAGGCAGGGCAAGGTGAAGTTACAGCATAAGTTACTGAGTTTAAAATTAGAAAGGTAGCAGTGGATATAATGCTTTTTGGTTTACTTGTTTCAATAGCATTAAGATAAACGCGTGTTGACGATCTTGACAGGGTTTCCTCCAGTGCTTACTAGGCCAGGTTTTCCTCCCCCACCAGGATAAGCATCACTTATTCATGTAAAATTTATTTTTTCATGACTGACTTTAACCGCATCTAATGCTGTATTACAGCGTGAGCGCAACAGCGACAACTTAAGATCGATGTGTGAGCAGCCTGAGAGGTCGGGTGTTTTCATCTGAACCCTTAAAACCTCCAACAGGCTACACTGCACTATTGACGTGTTAGCGCGCGGCGCTAACAACTTGGCGACGTGACATGTCTCTGAGAAAGCGTAAAAACACGTTGGACCCGTCTTCTGAAGCGGGAAAATAACACTTCTTCTCAAGCAGAGCACGACGTCGCCTCGGCTCGTTCACGGCCGAGCTGGGCTCGATAACTGACCCAGCACAGCCACTGGGTCGTTGGAGCTGCCCCGTGACTGCCGGATGGAAAACCAGCGGGTTTCATCAGACTCGTAGTTTCTTGTTTTTGCTGGGACCCCCTGTATTTTACCGCTCCCTCCTGCAGTCTTCCCCTATTAAATTTTTACATGATTCTGTAAACTCCGTGTATCAATATAAAAAATCTCTGCCTCTGCCAGCTGCAGTAAATGTAGTCTTCAAATAATAAGTAAGAGGTGCATTCATCTGTGTATCTCCTTTGATCCGCATTAGTGATATTCTCAGCACCAGAACAGTGAAGCAAAGAAACAGATTCCTGAGTTTGTTAGTAATTTTATTTATTAGGTGCATCTAACCTGTTCTATTTTCTCTGAAATGAGATCAAATCAGTGCTTCTATGGGTTGTCTCCTCTCTGCATTAGAACATTTTACTTTATTTAGAGACGTGCCATAACAAATATATTTTCTGAAACATTCGTGCTTGTAAAATGTTGGTAACATTTTTATATACTGTTTTTTTTCTATTAGAATAAAAATGAATAAAAGAGCAATGCAATTCATTGCCACAGGCTAGTCTCCCAGACTTACCACTAGGACCAATTTCGTGTGCCACTCCAAACATTTCTTTGGTCCCGTCTAGCCACCCCTGTCAAATTTTTCTGGAGGCGCCCCTGATCCCTTCCCCACAAATATTAAAACAATTGTGACAGTTACACCCCCATCCCACAACCCATTTGCCAAGCGCGCGCACACACACACACACACACACACACACACACACACACACACACACAACCTAAAAAACAGCATAGGTAAACACCAGGTTGAGTTCAGATGGGTTAAGTAATGAATGACACGCCATCAGGTAAGCCATCTGCCTCAGCAGCCAAGGCACCAACCCAGGGTGCCCTGGAAGGGAGGGCAGAAAGCCCCACCACCGCATAAGCACACCCCTAATATAAAAACAGGTCAATAAAATTCAGTTGAAAACAATATTTTAAAATATTTATTAAGACGATGTTTTTCAGAAACCTAAATATACATTTAAATACAATTCAGCACCAGGACAGGGCTGCCCGGCGATGTGCCCGACTTTAAAATGGCTCTGCTTAAGGGGAAAATCAGCCAGTGTGATTTATAATAAAATGATAAATGTTGTAAATATTTATCCACACTTTATTTTAGGGATGTACCATTAATATCTGCCGATATCGGCATTAAAATTTCATATTGGAAAATGTCAGTATCGGTTTTTAGTCTTTTAATGACCAAACTTTTCCCATATTTATACGTCAAACTCTTCAGTTGCTTCTCCTCTCTCTCAAGATGTCAAAACATGACAGATCTGAGGTTCTTCAGATTTTTTAGTTTATTTGACACAACTTGTGAACTTTTCCCTGTGTAGTGCACATACACACAGCACGTAGCTATGTGTTGCTAGGCAGCTAACAAACCACTAAAACAAAACTTGCTTTTCTTATCTGAAGATCTTTATAAATGTTTTATCACCTTAACTACAATGTACAGAGAAAGACAAAAAATACATCACTAACTTATAAACACATCTTAGCCATTACAGACAAAGTAATTATGGTGCTTTTCCTATCACTAAACGTCGCCATCGAGTACTTTCTTTTTATCATTTTCCACCATATTTCCTCTCTTTGATTGTATTAGAGATCAGTTTGCACTGATGCGGTTTTGATCCTTTAGTTTTCTAAAATTTGGATATAAAATCTTTTGTAACTTTAAAACCAATCTGAATTTATACTTTAGTATTAATTTAAATAGTAATACGCCAATGAAACAACGGCCCCTCCACGTCCTCTATGAGCCTGTTTCAAAAGGTCAGAACAGAATCTAGAGTCAGACATATTGAGGATGTTTTATTTCTACAAATAACACAAGCCTGGAGGAGCTTCTGCTGTGTGGTGAAGTTGCTAATGCTAATGGTTAGCTTAAACTAGCCGTGACATCTGCTGCTGATTACTAGACGTTAAAACAATGATGACAATAAAGCAATGCCTTACCCGTCAAAGGCCAATTCACAGGGTGACGTAGATCTGTCAGGATTTTCTAATCCTAGAGTTTCACCGTCTGTTTTCTATCAGAGGCTAATGCAGGAGATAGATGTGGGAGACTATTTCCTGTTCAGCCTTCATGACAAACTCAGAGTGGCCGATAATAATCAGAAATAAAACCTTTTTTTCAGTGAACCACATCGTTGAACTACAGAATTCCATCTATTTTAAGGGTTTTCCTTTAAGGTGAAGCTGGGAATCCTTCCTTCCGGGTTCTTTTGAGTTACCGTTGTGTGTCTGTTTTCATCACATTGCTCACAGCGGGACAGTCGGTCTTCAGACAGACAGACAGTCAGACAGATGCAAAGACGAGCAGTGCACGGAGCTGGTTCTGCTGCTGAGAGCTCAGGCCGGGCCCAGGGACTGCTGACTGGTGCAGAATAGAAACACGGGGGTGGAACCGACAGAGAGTGACTGAAAGCCGAAGCTGAGACTGATGGCGGGATGGTGCACGAGGGGGGAGAAGGGAGAGACGTTATCGAGCCAGTGTGAGTCAGCAGGAGCTCCGGGGTGCGGCTCTGGCACATCACTGCTCCTGTACATCCTCCTGCCGGTTTGGACCGGTCTACTCCAACCAGCCAGAGCCTGTTTGCTTTGCTAGATGTGGAGTCACATGTTGCAGACCCCAGATCAGCTTATTCGCTAAATCTAATGCATCTAATGCAGGGTCAATTGTCTGCCTTGGTTCTGCTGAAGTGTAATATTAAGTGTGTGTGCGTGTGTGTGTGTGCGTGCGTGCGTGTGTGTGTGTGCTTGTGTGTGCAGGACCAGGAGACAACATCCCAGCTGTGTATGGGCTGGATGTGACGGACGTGTCCAGGTGGGAGGAGACGGTCCTGAGCCCCGCACTGCAGATCCTGAGCTGTCTCAGGAAGGTGGGGTCTCAGCTTCCTGCTCTCATCTGCTTCTGTGGTGGAGAACTTTCTTCTTCACCTCCATCCGTTCTGTCTCTCCACCCCTTCTCTTTCCTTAGTCTCTTGAATTCTCTATCCCATTCTTTACAATTCCTTTCCTGCTTCCCGTTCCTTCTCTTTTTCCTACTGCGAAGCTCTCGCCACTCCTGCACTCCCAGCTGATCCAGTGGCCTCTGATTGTGTCGTCATCAGGTTAAAATTAAGGCTGAGTCATGCTTTTCCGTCAGCTCCAAAAGGGAGAGACACGCACACACGGACGGAGACATTTTGCTCTCATGCTTCTCCGTCTCCTGGGGAGTGTTGCAAAGCAATTCCCTGCCAGGACAGCAGAGGGCGTAGCGCTGTTCTGTGGTATCCTGTCATGTATCGGTCCAAGATCGTGTGTTTATATTGTGTTTTTTGTATATAAGAGACTTTTAACACGGACATATTTGTCTCTCATCCTCCTCCACCTCTTCATGCGCTCGCCACCTCTAAACCCACGTTTCCTGTCATTTCCGTCCACAAATAAAACGCTTGCTGTGATCTTTTCACTCCTCCAGCCACGGGGGAATTAAACGTTCATGTTTTTAGAGTTTTTTCACGAGGTTTTCTTCAAGCTTCTCCGTGTCTGCCACCAGTTATCCTCGGCTCTCTTTGTTTTTGAAGGCGCAATGGCGACGGTGTAGACGACAGCGGTGCCCTGACCAATCACAAGCTTGCGTTCTCCGTCTCGACGGACGGATGTTTAGAAAAGAGAGCTCGACTCCGTACGTCCTTGCGGAGCTCTCCAGCAGGCCCGCAAGGACGGATAATGTCTCCGCACTGACGCAGACGGAGAAGCATGAATCAGGCTTTAGCCAACAGCAGGTTTTCTGTGACTGCAGCATCTAGCTCAAGTTTAACCAGATCACTTTAACCAAACCAGTCTGAACTGGTTCGGGCACGATGACACAGAAATGGTGGATTCAGCCTCTGTTCCTTAACTTCCTGTTTTACCCGTTTTAGCAGCGACTCCTAAAACTTTCATTTTTATGTTTTAAAGGTGTTTTTTTATGTGTAGTTATTAACAACTATCCTACCTGTTGTTGATAACTTCACAAATTTACACTCTGATGATTGATGAGCTAACTGCTAGTCTGAGCCAGTCGAGGTCAAAGCGTGTTTCTACCACTTGTGTCAATGTAAAAAACAACTCCGTGTAAAAGTTTACAAACGGGGAAATTTAAGAGTTTAGAGCCGTTTCCAGATGGCAGCAACACACTCTAGTCTTTGTTTTGCTCAGCCTAGCCGTTAGCTAATCAGTCTTGAAAGATATAAACTCTATTTCTTTGAATGGAGGCCTTTCAGAAAAGTCGGTGTGCGTTTATAACTTAAACATTAAAATGGCAGGAAGTAAATGCCCTACTGTGGCCCTCCAGCGCGATGAGCTCGTTAATGACCTACAATAAAACTCAAGCACTGGTCAGAATTTTGCTGTGATTTTTGCCTTTTTTGATTTTTCTGTTAGGTGATTGTCACCTCTGAAGTCCAAACACCCTCACATGCTCAGATTTTAGTATTTAGCTGTTTCTCCTGTCGTCAGGGTGAGGAGCCAGCTGTTGGACCAATCAGAGCGCAGGGAGCCGAGCAGAGGAACAAACGAAGCCGCCACAGCTGCGATCTGTGTGACAAGGTGATCATCGGAGACCTGGAGTGGACAGGTGATTCTCGGCTCTTTATTCAAACTACAGATTACCTGTTTTACCACCAGAATAAACACATTTCATGCCTGATTGCTGTGGTTTTGCTGCTCAGTGACCACGAATAGATCAAATAACCTTTAAGCATATGTTTTTGCTGTTATCAGATTGATTTAAACCGGTCTGTTCTGGAACTCAGCTCCTGCTCCAGATGAGTCAGACCGTCCTTAATGCACCATCTGTGTCTATCCTCTGCACATGCAGCTCATCTCAAGTCCAAGAAGCATCACTACCACCTGAGGAAGAAGGGGAAGTCCGATCCGAGCTGTGGCTTGTCCCAGATTCCCATCCCAGCAGAAGAAATCCCCTCGGAGGACACTGGTGCTGCTGGTGCCGAGCGCCGTGGTGAAACCTCCCAGGACTCCTCTGCAGACACAAGGACAGCACAAACAAAAGGACCTGTGGACCTTCTAAATCCGTAGCGGCGCTGATTTGCATCCCTGCTTAATTGGGTTTCCAACGACGACACACGGATGATTCTGGACCTGTAGGAATTATTTTTTGGCCTGATTGAAATTAGAAGAGTAATTTACTTTTATGTTTCTGCTAAACGCACCTTTAGTGTTTCATCTTGTTTTTGATCTGAATAAACCAGAACATTTTTCCTGTTTCTCAGCTCGTGAACCAAGTTTGATTTTTGTTGATCAGGTAAAAAATAAATCATTAAGATTTAGCAGCTTTTTACTGGACGTCAGTAGCAGTTTCTGTTATTGGAGCCGTGCAGCTTTGTTTGCCTGCTGCCGGCTCATTTTTCTGTCCTGAAATACCTTTTCTTCCACGTCTTGGTTTAATAATAACCAGTTGGCTCCTTTCTGCTCTGACTCTGGTGTAAACCAACGTGCTCAGGCTGTGAGGAACTGTGTTTTCACCGCTCCGGTTGTTTATCCTGCAGCGTGTCGGCACTATTTCAGACCGAGGTGTGCCTGCCTGTCGTTAAACCATTTAAACAATGTCTGGCTCTGGTCCAAATGCCTGTTTTGGTGCTCCGGCTTCTCTTCTGCCACCTTTTCCACCATCATGCCAGACTTCTCCAACTCTGTCTTTAATCACTCTGAGTCCATGTTGAGTTCACAGGCTTCTCAAGTTTAACCTCATGGCTAAAAATACTTCTAGCTACATAATAGGTGGAAGTGTGTGTGTGTGTGTGTGTGTCCCACATTCCCTTTTTCCTAACTGGGACATGCCTAAACCTAACTGGGAGCCCAGCTTACAGTATGGGACACTCAGCAGTAGCAAAGGTCAGTGTGGAGCTGGTGTCTGGTTTACATAACCCGCTCTCTGTTTTGCTTTCCTTGTTTTGACTTTTAAATCCAAAGTAAACCCAATTGGGTCCATTTTCCCTTCAGATTTAATCCATCACCACTAAATCAGAAGCATTAGTGTGGAGATGAAGCTTATTTTGGGAGGGTGGGGGTGAAGGTGGACCTTCTGCAGGCCTGGCATTAACTCTCTACGTGTGGTATGTTCTTATCTGGAGCTCCTCGGCACCTCCAGGCACTGCTGAATCACTCAGAGCTCACACCGCTCAGTGCCACGCAGACCCTGAACTTTGTGTATGCTTTTACAGGAGGGGAGATGGAGGACAGGCCACACACACACACACACATGCTCACACTCACTCAGACCTTTCAAAGCCAAACTTAAAGGGGTCCTATCATGGAAAATCCTCCTTATGGAGCTTTTACCATGTGATGTTATTATCTTATGAAACAAAACCAAACCAATTTTTGGCTGCTTTGCATTTTCTTGTTTTGGCTGCAAAGTTTAACTTTGAAAATCTTGTAAAGCGCCATAGGAAACCTGTTTCCTCTGGCCAGCACAGGATATGTATGTTAAGCCTAATTTATACATCTCCGTCAGCTCCACCAGGGAGAGAGACGCTGCACGGACGCAGACACTCCTGGGGAGTGTTGCAAAGCAATTCCTCGCCAGGACAACAGAGGGCGTAGCACTGCTCTGTGGTGTCCTGTCATGTATCTGGTCTAAGTCAGTGCATTTACTATCGTGTTTTTTTTTGTATTTAAGAGACTTTTTAACACGGACAAATGTGTCCCTCATCCTCCTCCGCCTCTTCATGCGCTCGCCACCTCTAAACCCACGTTTCCCGTCATTTCCGTCCACGAATAAAACGCTTGCTGTGTATCTTTTCACTCCAGTCACGGGGGAATAAAACATTCATATATGAGTTTTTTCCAAGAGGTATTCAAGCTTTTCCCGCTAGATATCCTCGACTATGTTTTTGAGGGCGCAGTGGCGGCGCTGTAGACGACAGCGGAGTCCTGACCAATCACAAGCTTACGTTCTCTGTCTCGACGGACGGGTGTTTAAAAAAGAGAGCTGGTCTCCGTCCGTGCCTGTTGGAGAGCCCTTGAAAGGACGGATAATACCGTTGCGTGCACTGTAATAAATTGAAGGCCAGAATAACTTGAAAATGAAAGTTCAACAGCTGCCTTAAAAACTTGCCGTGCCAACTTAAATGAACACTTTCTTTCAACTCTTTATGTCAAGTTGTACAAATATCATAAATAATAACTATGTTTGAATATTATATTGTGAGTCGAAACAACAAATCTTATTAGATTACAAAATGGAAAAATCATTTTGTTTTGTTAAACTTACACACAATTCTACATTATGTTCACTTATAAATTTGAGTTGGACATGTATGGTTGTCCATTCAAGTTAAAAGTTTTTGTTAACTGAACAAATGGATTAACTGTTTGAACTTGTGTTAGCAAAACGGCAGCTGTCATGCCAATACAGGCAAACGGTGAAGCAGGAAGCTAACAACACTGAAGAATGCTGGCTAATAGTGATGTGTCGGTCGCGAACGAACCGGCTATAAGAGCCGGCTCTTTGAAGTGAACAACGGGAGCCGGCTCATCATTGGGAGCCGTCCCCTCCCCTCCCCTTTTGCTTTGGTGAAAGCCACAGGCGATTGGTCAGCATGTGTAACTGTGTGTCCAGACTGTCCACACACAGAGCAGTAGGGGCGGGGAAGAGGGAGGATAAGACTCAGACACACAGCAGAGCAAATGCGGGCGGAGGGAGACGAGAGGGAATGAGGAGGAGGAAAAAGGCGCGAGAGAGAGAGAGGAGAGTGTAACGAAGACGGTGAGAAAATGAGCGCCAGCAGTCGGAAAGTGGAGATTTCTGAAAGTGTTCAGTTATTAAATCCATAGAAATGATAAATATTTGATATATAGCATTTTTTTTACATTAGTAAATCATTTTACATATAGTTTTGCATTATTTTGGTTTTTAATGTACTCTACGCAACAGAAAATATGAGGAGCCACTTGGGAGCCGAAAGAGCCGGCCCTTTTTGGTGAGCTGAGCCAAAAGAACCGGCTCTCTAAAAAGAGCTGAAATTCCCACCACTACTGGCTAATAGTGATGTGTCGGTCGCGAACGAACCGGCTCTAAGAGCCGGCTCTTTGAAGTGAACGACGGGAGCCGGCTCGTCATTGGGAGCCGTCCCCTCCCCTCCCCCCTCCCCTTTTGCTTTGGTGAAAGCCACAGGCGATTGGTCAGCATGCGTGTCCAGACTGTCCACACACAGAGCAGTAGGGGCGGGGAAGAGGGAGGATCAGACTCAGACACACAGGAGAGCACATGCGGGCGGAGGGAGACGAGAGGGAATGAGGAAGTGAAAAAAGGCGAGAGAGGGAGAGAGAGGAGAGTGCGACGAAGACGGTGAGAAAATGAGTGCCAGCAGTCGTAAAGTGGAGATTTCTGAAAGTGTTCAGTTATTAAATCCATAGAAATGATAAATATTTGATATATAGCATTTTTTACATTAGTAAATCATTTTACATATAGTTTTGCATTATTTTGGTTATAAATGGTCTCTACGCAAAAGAAAATGTGAGGAGCCACTTGGGAGCCAAAAGAGCCGGCTCTTTTTGGTGAGATAAGCCAAAAGAACCGGCTCTCTAAAAAGAGCCGGAATTCCCATCACTACTGGCTAACTCACACCTCATACACAACACAGGGAGCTGAGTCCTGAGCATTTAGCGAGAACTTTATCTTCATTTGGTGCAGTGGAGTGAAACGGCACAACGTTCTTATTCCTACGACCGCCCTCCTCACTTTCGGTGCCAACACGACATCAAGAAACTCCAACCTTGGAACACCTAACAAAGCAAAAACTAAGAACAACACAAATGCCCACAATAAATGTGCATATACACCTCCAATTAGAACAAAATAACTAAGAACATGACTACCCACAGTACATCTCACCCACTGCAGCTTTCACAGTAGGCGGGGTCACTTTTTACTCTATAAATTGCAGTTTTGAGTTGACTGAACGCACGAGAATAAGGAAAATATAATCATTAGTTGAAATAACAAGCAATTTTAAGTTTTCTATATCAAAACACACAAAATTGAGTTTAACATTTAAAACTTAACAGGGAGAATTAGGTGAAATAGGAAAAATGAATCGAAACAACTTTTTGAGGCTGTCTTTTTTTTTACAGTGCGTTCGTCCTGACACAGAAGTATAACTTAGGGTCAAGGCAAAGGCTGTAGTGATGGGATTTATGGCTCTTTCATGGGAGTTGTTCATTGGTCGTTTACCTCAAAGAGCTGTTCAAAAGACTGGGTCCTTTGCAGGGGCGGAGCTTGATATGTGCAACATGTGCGGCCAAACAGGGCTGCAGTCTGCAGGGGGCGGCATTTAATTTCTTTCTTTTTTTTTTTTTTTTCTAAAAAAAATGTTTTAGCATCAACCAATACATAAACAAAACGTAGAAATCGCATGTTCTTAATAATAATAGTGATGATAATAATAATATTTCTGTAATAAAAGCGCAACAAAGTCATTGTTTGCGTTTATATTGTGGGTTTATTGCGCCCCCTTGTGTCCGCCGCGCCTCTGTGGATGCAGGGTGGGATAGTGAGCTCTATAGCGCCCTTCATCAGGTGGGGCGGAGGGATCTCGGAGAATGATGGTGGAGGGATACAGGTACCGTTTGACATATCACCACTCACAAACATAATGGAGAAGAAACGGTCGAAGCCATCTGGCGCCCAATTTAGGAAAAAAAGAAAAGAAGAGGAGGAGAAATGAGGAAAAGATGCAGGTATGAGTGTCTATTATTATTTAGTTGGTATTTTTCCCGCCTGTCCCCCAACTTATTGATTAACTAACTTCTAATCTGTACGTTTTGCATGGTGCTATGATGATCCTTTCAAATGTCTTGCTAGCTTCTTACGTTGAATGTATTTAGAACTACTTCCAACCGCTAGCTTTTTCTTTGTCAAATGAGCTTTTATGAAAAGCTAAGAGTGGAAAACCGAAAGGCTGATAACCAAACGCTATCAAATAAAAATGAGACTTCGAGAATTTTGCTGAAATACAGCCCCACTTCACGCAATTTGACACAAAGTTGTAGGTGTAATTTTTTTTCTCGTGTGTGTGTGTGTGGGGGGGGGGGGGGTCACAGGGGGATCTCACACAGGGCGCTATTTAGGCCAGCTCTGCCTCTGCTCCTTTGAATAAAGTGAAGCCGGGGGGCTATTAAGAGCAACGTGTTCCTCCTGTGTCCGTGAGGGCGCACGGTGGTCGGGTAGCATTCCTCCGACGTCCGTCACAGCGGTGGTTGGGGGTTGAGCAGGTGTGCTTTGCAGACTTCCGGGGAGGTTTGTTACCGGAAGACATGACGAACAGCTCTCTACAGGG